CACGGCTCTCCTTTCCTTTATCACTAGCACTTCCAATTTCCTACAAAATAGAATATAATAATAAGATCCGCAATTATCTTATACATGGAATGTAAACTAACTTAATTAAGAAAATAATATAATTGAAGATCTTCCCTATTTCTGTGGTTCCAGGTGCTTGTTCGAACCAAAGAACTAATGCCAAAATAAAATATATCTTTCAATCTCCCCCTTTGGCATCTAGTTCGAAAATAGTAGACATCAAGGTCCCCTGAAATGAAAACAACAAGCACCAAGAGACTAATCACAGTAATAAGTTAGATCACACAGAAATATTATACGGGCAGTTCTCCCCCTCAGTACCTGCAATCTGTGCACGGAAGTATAACAAAAACGGCATCAATTAAAGGGACCAAGATTACCAAAATGATCATTCATAAAAACAAAGTACTAAACCATCATCAGAAGCAAATAGTAGCAACCCAATCATATCATCAAAAGCAAATAAGTATGAGGTTCTTTATTACATAAAGACCTCCCTACATCCCTCAAAACACACAGAAAAAGAAGCACTACTCCTCATCATCATAGTAATTCGCAATGGCATCATTGGTGCTATCTCCCTCAGAGTCAGATCCTCCATCATCCTTCACAGCAGCTTTTCCCTTCTCCCCCTTTTTCGAACTACTGGATGCCGAAGGGCCTGTCCCCGCAGTCTTTCGATTGGTCCCCTTAACCGCCTGCAGCACTTGCTTGAGATAGGCCTGCTGAGCAGCAACTCGTTTAGCTATTGCGTCCCATTCACCAAGCTGTTGAGCCACAAATTCTCCCCAGTTTTTAGGAACCAAGGAGGGAGCCAGTTCCCGTGTTACCTTGGAGGTCCCCTTTTCATTGAGAGTACGAGCACTCACGGTGAATGCTTTGCCCGGGTTCTCAAGAGAATCTTGATAACGAGAATTAACAGCAAAGTTGTGGGCACTCAAGAAAGACCAAATAAGACAGGGAAAAGGGAGGGTCTTGCGAGATTCAATATTTGTAACAAAGGTATGAAGGATATCAAAGAACATATGCCCAAACCTGAAAATCTGCCCAATCATAACGCAATAGATCACCTTACTCTGGGACTCAGTGAGAAGAGTTTTATTGGAAGTTGGAGTCCAATTCCCAGCACCAATCTTATGCAGCAGATTGGCAACCAAGCAAAGTGAACTAACAGGCAAATTAGAACCAGGCCAAGTATCCAATTGACCAGAAGTAAGAACTTTGGTCATGGTATC